ATAGGATAAGCAATTTCATAGACGAATTGATCCCAAACCGATTTCAAATTCACTTTCAATATTTTTATCAAACTTTTGCTCAATTTTTAAAGAATTTTTAACAGTAAACTGAGCTCTCCATTGTTATTAAATATTATTAATAACTAAAATGTTGAAAAAAATAATAATACCATCAATTTCATTCCTTTTAATTAATTAATTGACAGTTCCATCGCGGAATTTAATTTATCGGGTATTATTTACGGGCGTTGAGCCTGTGCGGTAGTGGCGGGGACCCGAGGAGTGCGCGAGGGAGCTGCGCACGAAATTCCCACGCGTGGGATTTTTCCCCTCATCTGGCATCACTGGACTCACATTTACCGACAATTCGACCGGGACGCCGCCTTTCCCGTGGGGTACCAACTAACATTTTTGGAGTCAGTCAAACTCCCCGATCCGGGCCTCTACTCAGGTCTATCCTCTTTGTCTGAGCCTCTACTTTAGTCAATCCTCTTTGACCTCAACCCCAAACGAGCAGCAGCAACCGATCGGGTGGGGGTAGCGCGGTCAATTTAAACGTCTCTTGAGAGAGAGCGATGAAGCGTTGTGATTGGAGCTCCCTTGAGCCAGTAGTGTACCAGCTCCTGGTGAAAAAAAAACTACCGACGATGTTGCCACTTTTTGCATGGATTAATATTTTTTCATTTATTAAAAAAAAAACAATCTGACAACCATTCAATGCATGGAACAGATACAAATAAATTTGATTAGCTCCCAAAATAATTTTTAACTGGAGATACTCCCTAATATTGCCTGAATTTTGAATCCGAATGGGAAAAATTTTTTTGTTCAGCGATTGGTGCTCTGCAGGAAAGCAATAGAAACCCCTCCGCCTCACCTCCTACATTTCCTCCTCGCACGATTATCCGTAAGCTCAACTTTGGCGCGCTGTTTCAGCCCGATCGGACCAGTAGATTCTGAGATATAACAAATTGTTTCAATTTCGTCTTTCCTTGATATCTCAAAAAGCAGGTACTGCACCGATTTGAATTTTTCTTTTGTCAAAATACTCGTCAATATACTTTTTTGTTAAATATCTCTTTCTAAACTATTCGACAGATTCGATGTTTTCTTCTTTCAAAATACCCATCGCAACCGCTTCTGTTTAGATTAATCAAGATATATATACTCATTTTTTTTTAATCATTATTTTACATTATTTTACATTGCCGACCCGGTTAGGGTATACTGCGATGATGATCAAAGACTTTAAATGGTTAGATCGCACCATTCTACCCGGCCGGGATTTGAACTCGGAACCTTTCGCATGTGAGGCAACGAACTTACCCACTGCGCCAAGCCATCGGATATATATACTCATTCACACAACTTTTTTTGGATATTTCCGTTTTTTTTGTCTTTTCAATTTTTTCATTCTTGTATGCACCAGAATTTGAAAAAAAAAGACATATAGCAAGTTGAAATTTGCTATGATCACAACTCTTACAATATTACAGGTTGGTATTTTGTATGGGTGCAATCGGCCGAGCAGTTGTGGAAATATTTAACCTTTTGTATAAATCTATTTCATTAAAAGATTGAATATCTCCGTATAAAAATCTTGTTTTTTGTGTCAACTCTTCAACCAAAATCATTAGTAAAATGTTACTAATGGTTCGTAAGTTAATCCTAAACATTAGTAACATGGCGAAAAATTTCGTGTCAATTAAAGTTATTTCTCCACAGTGGTTGACTCCATTTTGATTATTTAAATAAACATACTGCTGAAAATCAAATAAAGAAGTGAGTGACGGGCATCTCCTTACTGATTTTTTTTCGAAAAAATTGGTCTTCAGACGAACATTTTGAAAAATAAAATGTTTTTCATACAATTTCCTAAGCTCGAATTTTTCAATTTTTTATTCACTCCATTACATGAAAATGCGTGCGTTTTCTCATTAGATGCTAACATGATAAAAAAATGTGATTCATTAGACTTAACATCAATTTGAAATTGGTTGAGTAGTTTTTGAGATATTCAAGAAAATTGCTTTGGACACAACGTTGAATATCTTATAATATATAATATAAGCCGGACTTGAACCCGTGCCTTACGGGTCCCGCCATCCGGCCGAGCGATTTAACTACTTCGGCCACCGTCGTCGGCTATTTTTTTTTTCAATTAAAAAAATGGTTTTTATCATTATCCCCTTGAACTACTCAGTATCGAAATAATTCCATATTCAACAAGATCTAAAAAATTGATTTGATGCTATTGGGTTAGAACCCTTCACTATTTATTAGTCAAAAGTGACTAGAATCTTTTTCGAAATGTTTGTTAATATTTTTAATCACTAAAATAATCATTATCATTTGTAGATACCGAAGAGGCAAGTGAAACAGACATGGGAAAGTCTGAGGAGTACACAGAAATCAAAGAGCAGTAAGAGACAATTCCCCTCATTACTTCCAACAAAAAAAATCCACCAATTCCTATTATTTTCAGGATCTATCAGGATAAATTGGGCAATCTAAAGAAACAACTACAACAATTGAAAGATAATACTCACCCAGAGTACAACAAGAAGGTGAAGAGGCTGGAGGCGCAGTACCACGAGAGGTACGACTCATTTTCCACATTTTTCCATAAATAAAAACCAAAGCTTTTAACTAATTTTCAATTTATTTTCTCTTTAAGATTACGGCTGAACGACATTTATCGTGATTACCTGATTGATTGGGCCGAGAAAGATTACAAATTAGAGCAAAAAGCTGCTGCCAAAGAGTATGAGGAGAAAAAAGTTGATTTGAAAGAGAATTTATTAGCTGACATGGAGGAGAAGAGAAAAATGATTGAATCTGATCGACAAACTATGGAATTGGCTGGAGATTCCACAGAGGTAATTGACTCTATCGTTAATCCTTCCAATCAATTTAATCGTCAGTTTAGTCAAAGTCCCCTCGCCTCCCCCCTCCCCCCGCTCCTACCCAATTAAAAAAAAAAAGAATAATCATTGAGTTATTCTAGTAATTTAAATTCCAATTCTGTTATAATTTTGTCAAAAATACGTAAAATTGAACAAAAATTTTTATTAATTTTTTTTGTATCGATTTTTCCAGCAATACAAGGTAATAAATAAGTCAATTGAATCGAATCAGAGGTGGAAGGTTGATAGAGAAGTAAATTAATCATGGGAAAGAGTCTGCAAATGATTGTTTTGTCAATTACAGAAATTGAGAAAAAGTGATTTACGAATTAATTGCGTCTTTTGAATGATTTCTGAATTGTTTATTTGCAATTTTCAAGGTGAAACCAGTGATGACGAGAAAATTAAGGCGAAGACCTAATGATCCCGTGCCTGAAAAGGTTGAAAAGAGGAGAAAAGTACTTCAAGTACAGGTGAATTATCTTTTGGATGAGAAAGAGGTTGAGAGTGATTTGAAAGCTATCAGCAGAGGAAAAGTTATGACTGCTGTGAGGAAACAGGGTAAGTGCATATTTGAGAAGTTTTTGATCATGAATATTTTATGAGTGGAAAAGAAAAAATCGATAGTAAAATCTAAATTAAGGCTTTAACTGTTAATTAATTTACATTTTCAGTGGTCATGCCACATTATAATCCAGTAAATATTCCAGCGTCACACATTCCACAGTTGTCTGAGGGCCCATTAGTTGAAACGAAAATTGAAGATGGGAAATTATTATACGAAAGACGATGGTAATTTCATGTCATTGCCAATTTTCATTCATTCGCTTCAAATTTTTAGTTTTATTTCAGCAGAAATGTGGTGAAACGGCTTGTTTAAATATGAAATTATATTTGTGTTTCTACGGGAAAAATTCACGAGAAATTTTATAGAGAATTTCGTCAGCTAAAAGAAAAAAGAATTCACTTGCTATTTTTTTTCAATAATCACTAGTTATTGAGATAATTTTACAATTATAAAAGATGATAAATTCAAGTCATTACATTTTATTAGATACCAATATGAGATTATCTTCACAGGGAGTGGGTTGATGAGAAAATCTCAGAATAAACTTTTTCTAGAGAATTCTCTTCGCTGCAAAAAAATATTTTATGATATTTTCCCCTAAAATCACTCATTTTCGAGATAAATACACATAAACAAAGATCTAAAATTCTCCTTTTCCACGTTTTATCACTCGTCTGCTAATTTATTTATCCATATTCTATTGACATTTATTTTAAAATGGGATTTAATGTCTTAAGGTATCACAGAGGGCAACCGATTTATGTAGAAGGAAAAGATTTATCCAAATTTGCTGCTAACATATCAGCGATTGGAACTGAAGCTGTGAGTAACGAATCATTTTACACTATCATGATAAAAAATCCTTAAATTTTTTTTTAACAAGTTTCTGACTTTTCAATAGACATTTCATAAAGCACAAAAAAATCAAAAACTGTTTATTCTTTCCTGTATCATTTATTTTATTGAGTTTTTTTTCGATAGAAATTCGTGGGCATCACTAGACCTTTCATTCCGGAAATCGAGAGGAAATATTGGTTCGGTTCAAACTGAAAAATCTGCGGATAAATAATGAAAAATTCCGATGAATATTGACATTTAAGATAATGTACATTTGACTCCTTGAAAATGATTTATATTATATTATTTATATTAACATGGGAAAAAAATGTCCGAAAATGTAGTGATTCTCAGTAGTCCAGTCAAATTAGATTTTTAACATCGAAATTAACCAAAGGGCACCAAATTACACCAATCGATAGCTAAAAGTGTAATTATTAATGTTTTAAAAAGTATATGCTCAAATTTGCCGGGGTGATTCACAATTTGTTATAAACAATTGGGAATTGCCGACAGGCCGTCTTCAATCCTAGATATCTTTAGTTAACCTCATCAGATGGGAAAAGAAAAAAAATTTCTTTGTAGCTGAGAAAATGTCCTATCGGGGGGAGTTAGGACCTTATAGCCCAAAATGTACCGTTAATTTATTATAAATTATAGTAGCAATTTCGGAGCAGTCGGCGCAACGCGCCAGCTGTTACCCTCCCTGCGACAGTGCCCTGAGTCACGTGATTGGCGCCATGCGCAACTTATGCAAACCTCCTGCTGCGCTCAACGCAATAGCCCTCA